GCGTATCCGCTGTTGGGGAATAATAATGTTAAGGCCCATGTTATAAAGAAGGGAACGCTGTGGTAAAATATGCCTAAAACCTATACACTTTATGATATTCAACAGGATACGCATCCAAAAACTAGCGTCCACAGCGTCCCTTTCTGTATATGTATAGACATATATATCTATGCATATGTGGATGCATATCAGGTATTTGGGGACCCAGGAATAATGACCTGCAAAACCCTGAATCTCAGTTTAGGGTTTAGGGCTCAGTTGGTTCTGCACTCGGAGATCCACAAATGCACCCCCGCTGAGTGAACTTACCTTTGCAGGGAATGAGGGAATGGAAAGGAATTTAGATCCCAAACCCTAAGCCCTAAGCTCTAAATCCTAGACCCTCAAGGGGTTCTACCGGATAGATAAGGATATACAGAAACTTTTAGGGTTCAGGGTTTAGGGGCATGGAAGAGCATATGGAGACTGTTGTATTATTGAAGATTATCTACGGGTTAGTATAAGGATCCATCATGCCTTCGTTCCTTGCATAAGCAGAGGCCCTAGACCCTAAATGCTAAACCCTAAACGAAGCCTTAAGCCGTAGCCCTTACACTCCCTTTTAGACTACTGTCCTTTGAAGAGTTTGCGGTATAAGGTTCCATGTTAGCTTGAAGGAGGGTAGATTGCTCCTGCAATCGTTACCCTAGCCCCGAAATGATAAACCTCGACACGTTAAAGGCTGAGCCCCTAAACCCTAAACCCTAAAGCCTGTGCACCCTAAACTGGTGAGACTTGAGCCCCGTCCAGGGAGTGTGCAAATTCTCTGCAGAAGATTGCATTTATGCGCACAGCTTGGAGGCTAGGATCTTGGGGCTTCCAATGGTTTAGGGGTTTAGGGTTTAGGGTTGGATGTTGGGGTTTCCAATTGCTTCAGAGGTTGAGGGTTTAGGTTTTTGATTGTGGGTTTACGGGGTATTTAAAGGATACATAGGGGTAACGGTCCAGGGTTTGCCAAAATTAGATGGAAAATGAGATGGAAGCTGGGTGTATATCGTAGTTTACAGGGGATGAGGGTTTTGCAAGTTAGGGGTGCAGTTTTGGGGGTCCCTATCATAAGAACGGGGGGATCTATAGTTATCAGGGCCCCCAATTATGGAAGCGACCACTTCTTTGGAGAGTTGCAGTTTCTCAAAGACATGGGCTTTTCTGCTCGGATTCAAAAGCATCAAGAAGGGGCAGACAGGGAAAGTTGAGAGGTTCATGAATTATTGTGGCCGGTTTCCCAGGATACTGTTGATACAAAATCTGGCATCACCTCAGTAGACTTCAATACCACAATCTGAAGGATATAAGGTACATGGGGTCATGCACGTTTTTACTATCCGCTCTAGTCATTGTCTCTGGCAGAGATATCCGGACCTCTCTGATGAGAAGTTCTTTGAAGTTGCCCGAAGTCCTAATCCCCAGGGTTGGGGCCGGATGTGTAAACCCTGAAGCCTAAACCCCTAAACCCTTAACCCAAACCCCCTAAACCCCTAAACCCTAAACCCTAAACCCTAAACCCTAAACGGTCAGCATTTAGGGCTTGGTGTTTGGGGTTTAGGATTTCAGGCTTTCGTGAAATGGCGGGGTGGCAGTGATGATTGTAGCCCCCCTTAAGTAGACAGAATATGGCTCTGGGTATAATATATATTGGAGTAACATGGGGACAATGGAAAAGAAAATGGAAGCTACTATAGTATATTTGGTATATACAGGACATATGTCTTTGGGTATATTATAATAAGATCCCCATATACCCCATATGATTCTATCTACTTAAGGGGGACTATAGGTTTAGAGATCATGCATGCGAGCCTCGTTCTACGCAAAATGGAGCTATGGCCTGACTGTGGACGGCCATCTCCTTCACCACCCCCCCCCTCCCCCCGATTTAGGGTTTAGGGTTTAGGGTTTAGGGCCACTCAAACCTATTACTTTTAATTCTGAAGGCGCTTGGCGCATGAAACATAGGGAACTGGTTTCTGGGCTTTTTGCGCTGGATTTCATGTCTTTGTGTTGCTTGCGCTGTTCGCAGGCTGTTTCGATCTGCGCTACTGAAAGGAAACAAGCTTAAGAAACGTGATTCTAGATTTCATGTGCGAAACACCTTGCCGGGATCTAAGCTCTAGTGTTTTTTCATGCTGAACAGGCTTCATGAAGCTGAGGTGGTTTCATAGAACCTTTTGATCAAGCAGCTAACAGAAATTTACAGCTTAAACGATGCATTCCACAGAAAGAAATCCGATTGTAGCTAGGAATTCGCAGAGGCTACGAAACCTGTGCAGAGCCGTTCTAGATTTTTGTCAGCATGATGCCTGGGAATTCGCCGCTCAGTTGTTTGCCCGTAGCCCTGCATTCATACCAGGCGGTGCTGACCGTTTAGGGACGTTCAAGGTTCGTAAGCTTGGCGGCGGGTTTAGGGTTTAGTTCTGAACCAACATGGATCCATAATGTGCGGTCTGCAGACAGTCACAGCAGCAGCTGCTTGTCAGGATTAGGTTTGAGGGTTTGGGGTAGACCTGCTTCCGCAATAGCACCAATCAACATCCTCAAGATAATGCTTTCTAATACTTTCCAATTGTCCTCCTACTTGTGCAACTTTCGGGTTTCAATTTTGGGCAACTCTTGCACACCATTTGGGGGTCAGGGGGACTTAGTAAGTGGGTTCATGCAGATAACCGGGACTAGAACTATGATATGAGCCATAATGCAAACCCCTTAAGGGCCTTACATAAGGGAGAATATAGGGGATGTCTATAAAGGGGTTATCAAGGGGATACTGCGAGTTCAGACTATGGTTCATGTAGTTCATGGGTATCGTAAGCACACGCACCACGTTCCCCTGATCTTTCAAGTAGGCTCTAGAGTTTGACTCCCCAAGCCTAACGTCCGAAACGCGTTTCAGCCAAACACCGTAGAGGTTTCGGGTTTACGGTCCAAGTGGGGTTAATGTAATCCTGGGTATAGTGTGAGATTGTGCACACCGTTTTTGTTCCAACATCTTTTTTGTTTTGAAGACTTGGTTCTTCGAGGTTCGATGACCTTAAAATGATTACCCGGAAGCGTATGAGATCACCAACATAGTTCCCAGCAATGTAGTAGCGCGACCTTGAATGCTAAGTCCGAAGCCCTTCTTCTCCGTTCAGGCCATGCCAACCCTAAACTTAAAGGAGCATGGTACACACAAAAACGGACCTTAGAAAGAGTTCTGTCCTTTAACGAGGCAAGCCCTCGACCCTAAACCTTCTAAACCCTTATCCCCTTAAACCCTAAACCTTCAAGCCTATATAAACTTACCGTTCCTTAGCGCTCTTAAATTTCCTGAATCCCAAAGTTTCAAAGTTTCAAAACCTAAATGACCCCCCAAACCCTAAGTAATGGTACGTAATGAACGTCCAAGAAAGTTCATGTCAGCTAGGGGATTGGGGTAACGGTCTTGAGGAGATGCGTGGCGCCCGCTGTGTCCGAGGCCTCCGCTCAGACAGGGTTTAGGGTTCAAGGTTTAGGGAGGGTTGAGGGGTCTAGGGAGGGTTTAGGGTTTAGGGTTTAGGGAGGGTCTAGGGAGGGTTTAGGGTTGCGGTCTCAGGGTTTAGTGTAGGGTTCAGGGTACTAGTGTGTGGGGCCTGAATAATTAAAGAATAATGTTCACCTGGCAATAATAACGCCCGCCCCAGATCTTGTTTGGTCTACTGCGTGGAGTGAGGCGCTGGTGCAATCACAAACCAGGGGTTGAAGCGGTCGGATCGCACCCTCATTTCGACTTGCCAACTGATGCCATCATACCGCCAGCTTCGGAAAAGCAGGGGAAGTCACAAAAGGCGGCGATCGGATCACACCACATTTTGACAAAGGACTGTTTGCAAAAAATGGGGCGAGCCGACCGCCACCTTCCCCAAAAAACAAGAGAAAGGAAAGACGCGGCCGGATCGCACCACCTTTCGACTTGCCAAAGATGATGCCATCCGACCGGTAGTTTCGGAAAAGCAGGGAACATCACATACGCTGGCGGTCGGATCGCACCACATTTTGACAAAGGATCGTTTGTAAAAAATGGTGTGAGCCGACCGCTACCTTCCCTAAAAAAGCCAAGAGAAATGAAAGAAGCGGTCGGATCGTATCACATCTCGACGTCCTTCATCTTCCTTGAGGAATGAGAGGCTCCCCTTCATGCTTCTGAAGGAATAAGTCGCTCCAAATCCGAAGGAGACAGACATCAAACAAAATTCCCCTCGGTGGAGACCTTCTTCTATACAACCACATTATTCTGCGATTGGCAAAGCACTGTACACCCTTGTACCATCCCATTTTCCCATGTATGAAGTGTCCATGATGTTGCCAGTTGCGTATCCATTCCAGTACTCCGGGCTGATGTCGCTGCAAGCCCAGTCCGGCAACGGCCCTAAACCCTAAACCCTAAACCCTAAACCGTGTACAATCCAGAGCTCCGACTACAGCAGAAAAGCGAGCCTACAGTCCCTGCTTTAGCTCGGGATCCTCAGAAGCCTCTATGATGATACAAGCATTACGTGCATATGAGCCCTAGTCTAAACTCCTAAACGGGGTTATGTAGGGGATTACATAGGGGACTACTATGGGGTTATTAAGGGGGATACTAGGAGTTTAGACTATAGCATATAATCCCAACACGTTCCCTTCCCCATTACACTCTACCCGCTCCCGTGCCGACACTCCACGCAGCACGCCGCGATTCGTTGTCCTCGCGCAACATGCTCTTCACTTCGTCGCCGACTATCGTCTTGTCCTCTTATCCTTTCTCTTTCTTCGAATTATTTCGGCGGGCGACAGCATATAAGCATTATGTCGTTTAGAACCGGTAAAGCTACACATGTGGGGTTATTCGGTCCTCTAGTTGGTGCCCAATACAAGAGAATCTGAATGGGTTTTGGAACCTACCATCTCCAATATTTGCGTACCTGGACCTTTCAGGACCCTGAAGCTCTAAACCCTACAGCTCGCAACTTCAGCCCTGGGATGGGTGCATTGTCATTGCAGTCAATATTTAGGATTATCATGGGGCTCTTGAGGGTTTGAGGTTTAGGATTTAGGGTGAGCTGCTGTCAATATTAGCCTTCTTAATGGATTCTTATCAGTGGAAATACGGGTCCCGCTTGTAGTTGAGTGTCGTCTCGAGTGCAGTCCTTAGTAAGGAATCCATGTCCGTTAAATCTTGTAGCCAATATGGACTGAAGCTCATATGATTTAGGGCTTAGGGGTTTTGGGTTTACGGGTGTAAGGTTTTGAGGGTTTAGGGGTTTAGGGGTTTCCAGGTTTGGGGGTTTAGGGGTTTAGAGTTTAGTAGGTTCAGGGAATTGCATGACCCAAGGTACCTTAATCCATAGCTTAGTAGTTTTCAGGGTGTGTTGGTCTGGGTAATTTTGCACGCCCTAGACTTAAGTCCGAACCCCTACACATAAACAATGTTGTATTCTGACATTTTAAATACCAAAGTCGATTTTGGGATCTACTGGGGCATCCTGTGATGATAAAGGTGCCTATTTGCTGAAAGCTCCTCTTGTTCGTACGAAGCAAGAAATTGCTGATTAGTGCTAGTAGGGATTCTTCTACGGATCTCCGCAACCCCAAACCCTAAACCCTAAACTCTAAACCTTATCCCCGTCATTCCTTAAGTCCCTCTCAGGTTCCGCACAAAGCATGGATCCTGTCACAGACTTTGAGGTTTAGGGGTTCAGGGCGGGCTTTGGAAAACCCAAGCCAATAAACCCCTAAACCTTAAAGACCCCTTGTAAGAACTTGGACCTTCCATGCTGGAATAATTTCCAGCATTATTCCCTTATGCGGTGTATTTTGGGGTTTAGGGTCTGGGTAGGGTTCAAATTCAAGGTTTTGGGTTTAAGTTTCAAGTTTTGTCGCTTCCTTGCTGGTCGACAGTTTAGGGTTTCGGCTAGGCTCTTGAAGGTTTCATAGGTAGCTTTTCCTGGTACTTTCCCAAAATTGGGGGACCCACCCCAATATAGACCCCCAAATACTATGATCCTTATTATGGGAACCCCTAAAATGGTACCCCTAATTTTGGGAAACCCCCCAAATGGGCGTCCATGCAGCTCTTGACTCAACAGCAATGCTGAAGAAGAAGAAGAAAGATCTTCGGGTGGGCGTAGAAATGCCCCAAGTCAGGCTGTAGCCCCCCTTTAGTAGATGGGTTTAGGGTTTAGGGTTTAGGATTTTGGGTATAGTATAATGAGATCCCCATATACCCCATATTCTATCTACTTAAGGGGGACTATATCGTCATCGTGGTGGTTGCTCGACTTCCGTTTACCATACCTACCCCCGAACCTTCAAGCAAGTCAAACAACTCCCATCACCGCAAAATCTAATCGTGCCCAGACACGGTCAGGCTAGCCAGTTCCCAGTTCATCAAGAGAAGTCGAACCCTAAGAACCCCCAAAAATTTTGAGTCTCCCTTGTAGAAGCCCTCAGGGTTGAAAGTCCTAATTACAACATACTTCTCAAATACCTACACCCAGCCTACACCACACTGCACTACTAAAAACCATCGGAATTCATTGAAACTTAAACCCCAAACCCTATACCCTAAACCCTAAACCCTAAACGGTACTGGAGCCACCTCGCAAGGCTATCCAGTTGGAGGACAAGCAGGGGAACCAGTTGCCAAAGGCAACTTGATTCCCAATGCCCCACAGGCGCAAAGGGTTTGTCTTGTTCTGTAGAGGCCAAAGTAGTTCCAAGATTTGTGGTCCATATTGAGGTGCTAATGGAGAATCACGTGGAAACAATGAAAACGAAATGTAAACTGAGCTCGCGTGGGGTTTCTACGGATTGCAACGTAGGGAAGCCAGAATGATTTTTGCTTTAGTTTTCTGAAGTCTTCGCATAATTTTGCTATGGGGTACCTCAAATCATATATCCACCTCCAAATGATGTTGGGATTTGCTTTAGGGCTTCATGTTTTTGGCGTACAGGCTCTGGGTTGCGAAGAGAACTTTGGACAGATGGCAGCGTCCGAGTCACGGCGCCAGCCGGTTGGGATGACCAGCGGCATCTCTTACTTGACAGCTTCTTAGGGTTTAGGGTTTAGGGTTCAGGGTCTTATGAATATTGCTACGATACGATGGAGAATCGATTGGAAAGAACATGGAAAATTTTCATGGAAACTGGTTTTTGCATAGGGGTTTGTAGAGGCCGGCCTGCTACTCGGGGCCCATACTGTATACCGTTTTCGCAGCTTGCCCTGTTCTCTAATTATGTAAGCCCTTACTGTTATCCTTGACTTAGCCAATGGAGGAACTTTAAGCTTTTTGGGCCTTTTTTTGGGTTTCTATAGTAAAGCTTAAGATTTTTAGCCCTGGTTGTTGGGAAAGAGAGATCCTGTTTCCATGTTAATTGAAATGGGCCCGGATAAGTCCCAAAGGGGATCCGATCTTTCCTTACCTACACTTGCGTTGGTCCTTGCAGATTCATGAAACTCAGTGACTGCTTTTAACTTGTGCGGTTTAAGTTTTAGGGCCTGGGCTTATAACCCCACTTTCCACAAGTAGTTACTGAATTCCCTAAACCTTTGACCTTAAATAACTTAAGCCCAGACCCAAAACCCGGACGCTATAATCCTTAAACCCTAAACCCTGAATTTAGGGTTCAGGGTTTTGGGGTGAAGGTTTAGTGTCTAGGGCCCAGCCAACACAGAAGCGCCTGTCCGTTGCCTAGCTATGAAGCTTAAGCCCTGAGCAACAAACGCTTAATTCTAAATCCCAAAGCCTGAAGTCTAAACCCATAGCCATACATTTACAAGCCTGAAGCTTTAAGCCTGAATCCTAAACGCTTAACCTTCAACCCAAACCCGGAAACCCAAGGCCTCAACCTCAACCTTGGACCCCAATCCCTAAATCGTTAAAAACCCCTCAACCTTGTTGTGATTGCCAGGTCATGGAATTGCCTCCCGTATCCACACTTCTTGACGCAGGCTTTGGTTGTTTGGTCTCAGTGTTAAGTGTTTGCATGGGGGTTCAGGGTTGGGGTTTCAGGTTTAACCCTCAACCCTAAACCCTAAACCGCGTTGGGCGGGGGTTTGGTGCTAGGAGTTCTGGTGCAATATATAGGGTGTGAAGTTTCCTATTCAAGTTTACGGTCAGAGCCCCGGTCTATAGGGCTTCAGGTTTTGGGTGATTCAGAATAACAGATTTAGGGTTTGGGGCTTAGGTTAGGGTTTAGGGTTCAGGGTTTAGGATTTAGGGTTTAGGCGGTTGAATTTTTTGTGTTTGTGGGCTGGGGACTGGAGCTTTGATTTTAGAGGTTTGTTTGGGGTTGAGGTTCAATGGTCTGAAGACGCTTCGGGGCCAAGAGCTTCAGCTTAAACCCTACAGCTAACTATAGGGTTTACGGTTTAGGGTTTAGGGTTTAGGTGATTTGGACTCTATGTCAAGTGAAGCCGCTAAAAAGGTACCTGTCATCTTGGGACATGCCTCCTAGCCCCCAGCATCGTCTCCCTCTTATGATAGAGCCCAAGTTTAGCTCATAACCCTCACCTTAACCCCTAACCGGGGTGGTTAAACGTCACCCCCAATTAATTGAGTGTGGATAACAGCCCGATACTACAAAGGTGCTTGCGGTTGAAGAAGCTATACTGGCCTTTGGTTAGCTGGGAATGAAGGAATGGAAAAGAATATGGAAACTAGTATAATGGGCTAGAAAGGGATTACTATCAGGATCCATTCCTTCATTTCTGGCCAACCAAAGGCCAGTATAGAAGGGTGTCGAGCTAAGCTTCCTAAACCCTGCGCAGAAAGAACTTCACTAGGAACTGTTTTCCCTACACCCAAAACCCTGTTGGGGGGACTAGCGGATTACTGGTGGGCTGTGAGACCCAAACCTCAGCCCACATAGGCATAGGATTTCCCGTGGTGACGGGCTTTCAACATTAAGTCATGGTTCAGGGCTTAGGGCCATTTAGGGCTTGGACCCTGAACCCGAAGCCCTAAAGCCTAAGGCCTTCAGCCCTAAATGGTAGTTTCCGAAAATGAGGGGCCCCCAGAATAGACCCCTCATTATGGGGAGCCCTAAAAGGTACCCCTACTTTTGGGAAAGCCCTAAAAATCCAAAACCTTGAAACTCCGAACCCATCAAGTCAAAAGGACTTGCACTAGATTCCTCCGTGTAGGTTCCTAATAGACCTCCAGACTCAAGCATGGGTCCCAGATTTAGCATTATATGAATGTATCAATATATTCTTATATTACGCAATATATTGTAAGATTCGTATATTAGTATATTGCTCTATCATTCTACTGTTATAATAGTATACTGTTACATAAATATGTATTATTGTCTTCTTATATTGATATTTTGTTATATTCGTATTATTCTTAGTATGAGTCCTGCACGATTTCACAAGTATGCCGTCCTACATCCCAAAGAAGCTGATAACGCCATGGTAGAATTTGTGGTCCTAGCTTGGTAGTTTCCGACATTCTGGCTCACTCCAGCAATGCTTGCAGTTGTTTCTGAACCTCAAAAGTAGGTAGAAATATCGGGTTTTGGGCTTTGGGCCATTATCTTGCATCGTCTTCGGTCGGGTAGGGATGGCTCAATAGAATTGTAGCAGCTGTAGCAACCACCACTGTGTAAGGACATTCCATGGAATAGGATGCGGAGCCCTGCTTGGAGTCTTGAAGTGATCGAACGAATACATTTGCTAAAGGGGTAACACGTCAAAAACATAATAGTGATCTTTGAAATCTTGAATCTGGTCAGCCACCACAGATACCTACCCATGAATTTCTGGGCATTGTTTACTTTATCTTCTTACTCTTCTGAAGCTAGACAAGGGGATACACATAGAGCTCCAAGGGGATTAAAGGGGCGTTTCTCTTGCAGGTTCCATGGGTGACATTTTGAAAAAAGCGACTTAGGGGGCCTGTACCCCCACTTCCAGCTGCTGTAAACCTTCAAGTGCCCTCCCCCAACACTAACATGCAAACCCATATAGCCCCTGACTTTAGTCTTTACAGGCCCTGTTTAGTTTGTGTTTTCATATGAGGTTCCGGGAGGAGAGTTCTGTGAGACCGAGCTGTCTAAGTTTCTGGGAAGGACCGCCGAGCACGTTTCCGCCAGCGCTTGCTCGGAACTTAGGATGGTTTGTGGCTGGGTTCAGGGTTTGGGATTCAGGGTTTGGGAATTAGGGTTTAGGATTTGGGGTGTACAGGAGGCGCTGTCGCGTGTTCGGGTGTGACCCGGCGTGCGTTGCTTGTAAACTCACCCCGGCCACCCACATTAGCTTCAACTAGGTGTGCATGGCATCCCCGATAATGCCGCATCAAGTGGATGTGCCAGCTTACAGGCTCGCAGAAAGGTAGCCCCAGCCGACTTCGGGCTGGAGCAGTGTAGGGGTTTGCCATGGGGCTTCGTTTAGGACTGCTTACGGATTAGTTATTCATGGAGGCTGGAACCGGTTAGTGCCAATCCTGGCAACTGTGAGGCCTTACACGTGTGAGGATCTGTGCACGCTCGCTAGGACTAGGAACATGGTCTGCAAAGCGATCGAGCCGGTCCGACAGATCCCGCACATCATGCCACTGAGCAGCATATTCTCTTGTGCCAGAAGGTTTGCTTTCCTCCGTGCTCCGTTTTCAGAAACTTCATGGTATAGAAGAGTCAGAAAAAGGCTCCAGCTCAGAACGGTGCTGTGCCCATTTGGTTTGGTGCCTGCGGAGGCCATCTTGCAGCCCTCAATTATACGGGGGTGCTATTTTGGTGCAGCACATTTTCTTTGTAGACGCAGTCGACCCAGTTTGCACGTCCAACGCTACGGCACATGAAAAATGACAATGGCCATCTGCATCCACAACCTATGACAGTTGAGATTGACAAGCCGATGGGAGGCCACTTCGGAGTTATACTAGATATGAGTTGGCCTGTCTGGGTGAAGCTTTACTTCACCTCTGTGCGACGCTCTTTTGCCATGCGCTCGGGCTGTGCTCCATGTGGACCCTGGGCCAGCGTTCGGGGTTTGTCTCTTGACGGCAACGAACCCTGCTTGGTTTAGGGCTTGGGGTGAGATTTGGGTGGTTTCTGGGTGTGTTTTGTGAGTCTTGGTGGATTTTCAAGACTTTTATTTCCTGCGTGCCGAAGCTTGAGGCTGCGTCTCACCCCCACAGAAATGAGAACATGGCGCCTCCGGGGCTTTATGAGATTTATACGCGTAGGTTTATATCTAGTGGTTATATATCCAGATCAAAAGGATATCGTGGGTTGGTATGGATTAGTTATATAGTTTAAAAAGTGCCCCAAATCATTAAGTGCTAGAGAACGGTCCTAGTATGATCGACTGTATCTGCAAAGCCCGCAATTCCCGCTATCAGAGACTTTTGCTGGGTGTTGGCGGGACGCAAATGATGATGTAGGACTTTGTGGATCAAACCGATCTTTAGCATTAAGGTCGGACCGTTCTGGGATGACATGCAGCAAAAACATGAAGAAGCGCTCATCTTCATGTTTCATGGTTCAAAGTTTAGGTTTAGCGTGAGCGCTTCCATCACGTATAGACTGCCTTAGCTTCTATTGTAGATGTTCCGTACGATGCATATTGCCGAATACCACATTGCTCTCATTGCCACTCTGGGTATCATCTCTGCTTTTCTCATTGTTGATACGAAATATCCCGCACGTGGAATGCCATAATTCGCATCGTACACAGTATTTAGGGCCATGCAGGATCTACAATATCAAACATATCACCAATATCATTCGAAAAAAAGGCTTGGATTGAAGCTTCATTCGATTTGAGAATGGGTGTTCCATGAAGGGAATTATCGAGGATCGAAGGCGGTCTTGAAGCCATGAACCCTAGACCGTAACCCTAAAATGGTTGGGAGGGCTTGGAGGACATCTTGCTATGTAACTTTGGGGTTCCGAGATGATGTGACCGACGCATTCCGCCTCTACTCCCAATCCAAATTGGGTCAAAATGAAGGGTTTTTCCAGTCCGGAAAACATATAAGACGCGCCGCGATTGAGTTGAACTTTCTCCGAGTCATTGGCGGATACAGTTGAGGTCTTTCTTCAATTTTGCCCAGTAAAAAAAATCAATTCTGCTTCGCATACACTGGCGAACGCCTGCATTGTTCTTAGTCAAGTGAACTGCCCACAGTGAGCCGCTTGACGTAGCCCAAATCAAAACACGGCAGCGGTAGCAGCAAACAGTCTTCACTCCAGAGCCCGCCTCCATTTGGGACAAAGTATTGTAGGGGCCTCATTATTAGGCACCAATGGTCCAGGCTGCCTGGACCATTACCAATAATCGAGACTCAACTGGAAAACGTGCAGCAACAACTATGTTATGCTGCTATGGTCACGGAAGAGGTATATTGAGTCGCGCAAATGCGTTGGCAGGTTCTGCCAGCAGTGAAAGTATTCATTCGTGATTGTGGACATGCAGTTGATAAAAACACGTTTTGGCGGACGGCTTAGCTCATTGCACGACATGAGAATAACAATCCGTCTCATGACCCCGAGTACAGGTTGTAATTAATCCCAGAGCTTAACTTCGAGTCTTCAAGAGTAATCCCTTGATGCCGAAGCTCTAAACTTACAAAGCCGAGCATCCAAAAATAAACCTTAGGATAACGCCAGAGATGCCCCCCTGAAACCCTAAACCCTAAACCCATCATACCCCGAAAGGGCCAGTAGTCTACAAAGGACCCGTTCTTAGGTTCCACCTTGGGAGTTGGTGTACAACTTTTACAGCTTTATGGGTTCTCCTACTACTCCGCCTATACTACCCCCTCGAGGTTCCCCGGTTCCCCCTTAATTAACGCCAATTAGGCGTTCACTTTAGGTAAGGCGGGAACCTAGAAGGTGGTAGTAGGGAAACCCATGATAGTTTTTGTCAACCCCCAATTCGAACCGATCTACAGGTCCTTCCGGAAATTGGTTACAGGCCTTCTCGGTCTAGAAGTTGTTTTCCATATGAGTTATAGTCTAAACTCCTAGTATCTCCCATCATAACCCTTATAATACTCCCCTATATAAGCCCCTTTATTAACGAGTTTAGATTGTAGCTCATATGGCCATTGGGGGAACAGAATTTTAGGTCAACGAGAACTCATTCTCACCATAACCTCCGAGTGGAAACGGTGCATATGTTGATGAGACACGGGGAACGATATTTTAGTTCCTATGGCATGCAACTCTGGTCCCTAAATAGGGAAACCCTAAAGCTGAGATTTTACCCCTGAACCCGAAACCATGAAGCCTAACATACCTCCCCACACCGGCCCTTGATCCTGGGTCCTTATGTACCAGTATATGCCCTACGTCCCTACGTAGCTTATACCCACAAAACCCAGCCCAAACCTTTTAAACCTTCCAAACCCTAAAAAGACCCTAAACCCTAAGCCCTCCACACCTGACCCTAAACCCTAAACCCTAAACCCTAAACCCTAAACCCTAAACCCTAAACCCTAAACCCTAAACAAACAGATCAGGCCACCTTGCCTGAGAGCTTGGCTCCAGAGGGGCAGCCGCACGCTGAGCAGCCCTGTAGCCAGCAGAGTATATTGGGAGCTCTACGGGATGGTCCTTACATAAGCCATGCTTAGAGGGCCACGGGACTTAGTAACTACTTATAACTGGGCTTACAACCCGCTTACAAATGGGGTAGCCCCATAATCCCATTGAGTAGGATTATAAATAGGGTTATAAGCTCAGTTATAAGTAGTTACTAAGTGCCATGGGCCTCCAAGTAATCTAAATTCCTTTCAGGGGGTTATATGGGAGAATGTATATATATATATATACCTATATAAATGTATATATATACAAGTCAAGCAGGATGCTAGGAGTTTAGGCAATAGCTTATATGGAATGCTCAAGAATTTGGGGCACATTGCTTGTTTGTCGTACCTCCGTTCGATGCTGATGTTTTCCGCTGGTCTAGGTGGAGTTTAGAGTTCTAAACCCTAAACCCTAAACCACTGAATCCGACCCTCAGCCCTACGCCTTTCTGGCAAGTCTTCAGGCCCAAGAAGCTCTAGGATCGGCAGGCAACGAAATGGGCGACACCGTAAACCCTGATCCCTAAACTGTACTTGGAGGGTCAGGGGGACTTAGTAAGTAGGTGAATAGTGGCATAATTAGGGCTACTAGTTGGGCTTTACGAGTTATTAACCTACTTACTGAGGCCCCCTGACCCTCCAAGTAACCCTAAACCCATAACCCCTTTCATCCTGGGGGTTTCAGGATTCTGGGTCTACTTTGAAGACTCTGGGGTGTGGGGTGTAGGTATAGAATTTCGGGGCTCAAGCCCCAAAACCCCAAAAACACTAAACCCTAACCCCTAGAAACCCTACACTTTTGGGGCTTTGTCTTCGGTGTGAAGGCTCTGTTTGGGGCAGGGCGTTTTGTGTGAGCCACCCAAAGGATGATGATGATGATGATGATGATGATGATGATGATACAGTCCCCCTTAACTAGATCGAATATGGCTTTGGGTATATTAGAATAAGATCCCCATATACCCCATATTCTATCTACTTAAGGCTGACTATATATACATATCTGTGTGTGGGTCTACTCTGAGGAGCCCTGGGGTTAGGTATAGGAAAGAGTTTAGGGCTTGATAAGGGGAAATCTACTATATCCCTAAAAAGCCATAATAGGCCCCTTTTGCCTTTATTGTAGCCCTATCTAAGTAGTTTACCTACCCAGTAGCAACCTCAGGGTGCCACAACGTAGGAAACAGGCCTTGATGGGAGGAAGTCTTTTACCACTCAGGGCGTTCACTAGAATCCCCTCCCCCTAATATCAAACCCTCACACCCCCTGTAATATCAACTACTCCCCATTGTGGTATATAATATCATATTGGCAGTATTTCATATTAGGGTGGGTGGAGGGGTTTCATGTTAGGGGGAGGGGATTATATTGAAATTCCTATCGCCCAACAAGATCCTCAGACTGCCAGCAGAGCCCCATGAAGGGGAGACAATTTGGTTTGGGAAGTGAAGTTTCTGCAGTGACCGCTTGCGGTGGTCTAACCCTGAAGGACCAAAATCCGAATGCCCTGTGAGACCGAATCTTAAGCAGTAATCGCAAAGAACCTGCAAGATCATTATGGCATCATATTTCCCCAAACCTTATGCTACTTAATCCCACCCGTAAGGGCAAATCCCCCGCACGTAATCATAAAAGTTACCCGCATGCAAAGACACGTTTTGGAAAAACGTCTTTTTCAAGGGGTCTGTTATGCGGGGACGGAAGGCCGCTGGAGCCCGTTTTTGATTTTCCATCTGATTCTACCTTATCCGGGCGAACAACCCTAAACCCCTTAACCCTAAGCCCTGACTAACTATAGTCCCCCTTAAGTAGATAGAATATGGGTATATGAGGATCTTATTATCATATACCCAAAGCCATATTCTATTTACTTAAGAAGGACTATGAGCCCTGGCTATCTAGGCTTGCCCTGTGCCCGCTTAGGTCGTTGCAACTCACATCTGCACCCCACGTAGGCACGTCTTCATCACACAGGGCTTAGGCTTGTGGGCAAGGAAGCATTTTCAGCCCAAGCAGTTAAATATTGAAGTAGGGGTTCTTATTATGAAGAAGTTGAATGCCTATAGCTCAATGCTTCCTAGGCTTTCTAATAGGCTTTAGGGTACCCTAAAGCCTAAACCCTAAGCCCTAAACCCTAAACCCTGGGCCCTAAAAGCTATCAGGGCAAGGCTTATACTAACAATCCCCGCATGACTCTTAGTTGCCAGAGCCTTGGGAATTGTGGCAGGGTTTAGGGTTTAGGGTTTAGGGTAATTTAATGCACGAAGGTCATACAGGATCTTTTGTAGGGTTATATTGGGATAATTGTAAACGCTAGCGTGTGCCCGCCTCGGCTGGCGGGGCTTCCCACTGTAGGAACATGTAATTATAGATATACAGGTATTTAAGTTAGGTATATAGATACAGTCATATGCCTATTACATACACAATAAAACCCTTAAAGTCCAACTAGGGACGCGCAAGTAGGACCCAGGAAACCGGTGGGGAAAGTGTTCGGGGCCAGCGTTCGGACCTTGGGTTTAGGGTTCCGTCTTGCGGGTTGATAGGCGATCTTAGGGTTTGGGGATTTAGGGTTTAAGGTTTATGGATTAGGGCTTTAGGGCTTGGGGTTTGAGGCCTCAGGCTCTAGAGAAGTGGCGATTGGAGGCATAGGAGTTCGCCGTTCAGGACTGGTCG